TTTTGTTTATTGTTTTTTCTCAATATGAAAAATCATGTGATATGACGTCATTTTGACTATTTCGCGACTTTAGCCTTTAATGGTCGAAATCATTTCGACCATTTCGACCATTTCAGATATCTGAAATGATCCATTTCGATTTCATGTATAATCACGGTATTGTCATGTAAAAAGATTAGTATATTGTTATGGTAGGATCTTCAGTTTTGTGACTCATAATACAATCGTAACATGAAAAGTTTTCATAATATGAAAACTTAAATTTAATTGGTTAAAACATTATACTTATAAAATTTTATTAAAATATTGCTAGTAATAAATATTATTCAAATATTAATTAACAAGTCAATAATTCTCGAACTGGTAATAACTTTATCACTCCAAGTTTTGTTAGAATTGCTAAATCAAAATAGTATACTCATCACAACTCTTAACTGTAATTTGTGTATTTGTTTGGTTTGATTGAGCAATTATAACAGCTTTAACAACCTGACATACAAAAGTATCAAGTTTTTTAGTAATTACAGGATTTTTTAAAATTTGTTGATCAGTTGCCTTTAAATGCAAATGAAGTAATTGCCGCCATACATCCTTATTAATAAATTCATTTAATTCATCATCGAATATTTCTTCTTTTCTATATTTATAATTATTTAAATATTATTTGTATATTTGTTAAATTTTAATAAATTACAATGCTTACCATTCATGTATTAATTTGAACTCATTAGCAAGTTTTACAATACTTGCATGAAGTTTATAGCGGTATGTATCATACCATCCACCAACATTTTTAAGCAATGATCTTATTTGAGGATCTGCTTTAGTAATCTTGCATACATTTACAATTAATTCTCATATAATGCTGTTGTATTGTTTCTTGTTTAAAGAAAAAAAGCCTTACACTCCTCCTGTAATTGAAATTTAGTATACTAAATCCAAAATATTTAGTTAGTATAAATTTTACATAATAAAACTTTTATTACTATATATTATATTACCTGACTAATTTCTGACAAGTTAGATATTAGATATGATGTAGAAATGGGAATTTGGAGTGTTTCAGATTCTTCTCCATTTACTGGCATACTAACCGCTATTGAATTTTGAATATCTATTGCTAAATTCAAAATTCTTTGATGATGAGCCACTCACAGGGCGATTTCAAACTCGTTAAATATCTTTTGAAATTGCGTTAGATGTTTTGTTGTAGTTATGTTTTCAGAAGTCACTCTTATTATCTTATCATCATCTACAGTCTCAATATTTGTGTGGCGTAATAAGATCAGTATATAAAATAATAAATACCCAGTTCTCTTTCTTTCCAATCATTCTCTTCAATTTCATTTTTATTATATAAAATGTTAACAGTGTCATAAGCATTTATTTTCAAAGTTTTCAGAATATCTAAAGATACAAAATGATAATCATTGGTTTTAATTCGTAATCAACAATAATATACTTACTCTACTCACCACTTGAATCTGATTCACTTCATCACTATTACTATCAATAATTATTTGCCTAACTTGTGTTTTCTTTGGTTGAAGTGTAGGATTTAAGTCCTTGTTTTTTTATAATTGTTTTTCAGTTTTTATTTTGAATATTATTCCTTGAGTTTTTTATAGTTATGTTGGTAGGAATATTCAAATTATTAATTGCTTTGTTTTGAGCAATATCTGTACTAACTATAATATCAGTCTCATTCATAGAAGATCGTGTCTGATGCTTCTTTTTTATTATTTCTTTAAGTACAGTCACTGTCTTTCGCTTTGGAGGCATAGCTAAATGTATTTCATAAAAAAATATTAACAGAATTCGAATTCTTTAAAAAAATTAATAAAGCCACAATAAATAAGTATTTATTATGAATTGATTAAAAAAGGCGTAAAAACAATTAATCAAACATTTAAGGTTGATTAAAAGACTCATTGGAACTATTTAATGATGATGTCAAAGACTTTCTACATCATTTTAGTATCTACGGTGTAGTGTTATACGAGTCGATTACAAAGTCTACCGACTGAAAAATAGACTTCAACACGTATAGCAAGGTTTTAGGTATCTGAAGGATAATAACTTAATTTAA